TTATTAGTCTTGTTCCTTATTTGATGGAGGCTCTATTTCTGCTTCCCCAAATCTATTTGCATCTCCCAGATGCAAGTAGATCTTGGGCTGGTTCCCTGTCCTACTGTGCTTATACATCATGGACTCAACAATGAAGATGAGATCTCCAACTCCTGAAGAACTGTCTCTTATTGTGAAAACTTATCTTCTGATATAGTATAGGTCTTGTGAGCTTGAATATCAAAACATTTTTCTAGAGAATCTACATCTATTCCAAAATAGTTTTGCCTGGGTCATCTTGACAAAATTTGCCCTCGCTTGGAAAAGGAAAAGGCATGAAAAATAACCTCTTTCACAGTTAGATAGTCAAAGTGACAAGAACATACTATGTGCTAAGCTAGGACTAACTACTAGCCTTCTCAAAAGGATAAGAATAAACACGGACTCATCTTGCTTCCAGTTAGGCAAGAGGAACCTGTGCAGCCTATATCTGTGTTAACAAGTTGCATCACAAACCAGGAGTGGTTCTGTAAAGCAGTAAAAAAAAAAAAAAGGAGGTGCTGAGGGCTCAGCATCCTTGCTATGTGCAATTTAGGATGTGGGGGGTGTGTGAGGGAGTTCAGCCTGTGTCTAGTCTGATCCTGGAGTGAGCACCAGTGCCACTGCAGGAACATAGAAGGTTGGAGCTGAGTAGAAGACTGGGACCCCACTAGTGGTCAGCCTTCCTTTTCAATTTAAGTTTTTTCCTTTCACTTTTTATATTCCTCACCACTGGGAGACAGCTACATCTAGGATCCATAACAGCACTATTCTGCAATGCAGCCTTGAAAATGGTTTGTGCTGTGGGCAAACAGATGCTCTGTAGAAAGATGTGGAACAACCTTTGATCACATCCAATGAAAGTTCCAGTTTTGTTCTGTCTCAAAATAAGTAAGGACGCATGTTGCTTCAGGCCATTAGGCTGGTTGTAATAATTTCCTTTTGTGTCATTTCTCTGAAGTTCTGTGGATCACTAAAATGAGACATCTGAAAACCAATGCTCTGGATGCAATACTGTAGAGGAGAAATGTGGGCTAAACTGCGATAACCAAGTTTTAATTCCTGTCTACTTACAATGTATATTTTTTGTCAAAGTATCTTTTGTTTAACAGATGCACCAAGTTATGATTACTTGTTGGTATTGTATGCCAAAGACCATTACAACATCAGTGGGACTGTCTTGTTCTGCTGTTCTTTTGAGGGGAAAAACTTCTTTAGAAAGGAGAGTTATTGGTGTAATTTGCTATGGTTAAAATATACACAATGATACCACAGAATGTTAAAATAATCATAGAATCATAGAATCAACCAGGTTGGAAAACACCTCCAAGATCATCAAGTCCAACCCTTGATCCAACACCACCATGGTTACTAGACCATGGCACTAAGTGCCGCATCCAGTCTCATCTTAGAAACCTTGAGGGACGGTGAATCCACCACTTCCCTGGGCAGCCCATTCCAATGCCTGATTACCCTCTCTGTAAAGAATTTCTTCCTAATATTCAACCTAAACCTCCCCTGGCACTGCTTAAGACCATACCCTCTTGTCCTACTGCTGGTTGTCTGGGAGAAGAGACCAACCCCCACCTGGTTACAACCTCCTTTCAGGGAGTTGTAGAGAGTGATGAGGTCTCCCCTGAGCCTCCTCTTTTCCAGGCTGAACAACCCCAGCTTCCTCAGCCTCTCCTCATAGGACTTGTGTTCAACTTGCTTCACCAGCCTTGTCGCTCTTCTCTGAACCTGCTCCAGCACCTCAATATCCTTCCTGAACTGAGGGGCCCAGAACTGGGCACAGCACTCCAGGTGTGGCCTCACCAGCGCTGAGTACAGGGGAAGAATCACTTCCCTGGACCTGCTGACCACACTGTTCCTGATCCAGATCAGGATGCCATTGGCCTTCTTGGCCACCTGGGCACACTGCTGGCTCATGTTCAGCTTCCTGTCAATCCAAACTCCCAGGTCCCTTTCTGCCTGGTTGCTCTCCAACCACTCTGTCCCCAGCCTGTAGCGCTGCAGGGGGTTGTTGTGGCCAAAGTGCAGGACCCGGCACTTGGCCTTGTTGAACCTCATCCCGTTGGAATCAGACCATCTCTCCAACCTGTCCTGGTCCCTCTGCAGAGCCCTCCTGCCTTCCAGCAGATCAACACTCCTCCTCAACTTGGTGTCATCTGCAAATTTGCTGATGGTGGACTCAAACCCCTCATCCAGATCATCAATAAAGATATTAAACAGAACTGGGTCCTACACTGATCCCTGGGGAACACCACTAGTGACCGACCGCCAACTGGATGCAGCACCGTTCCCCACCACTCTCTGGGCCCGGCCCTCCAGCCAGTTCCTAACCCAGCACAGAGTGCCCCTGTCCAAGCTGTGGGCTGCCAGCTTTTCCAGGAGTATACTGTGGGAGATGGTGTCAAAGGCTTTGCTGAAGTCCAGGTAGACACATCCACAGCCTTCCCCTCATCCACCAGGCGGGTCACTTGATCATAAAAGATCAGGTTGGTCAGACAGGACCTGCCCCTCCTAAACCCGTGCTGGCTGGGTCTGATCCCTTGTCCATCCTGTAGGTGCTGTGTGATTGCATTTAGGATGATCTGCTCCATAACCTTGCCAGGCACTGAGGTCAGGCTGACAGGCCTGTTCTGGAACTGTCTGCCCTTCAGACAAACAGTAGTTAGTTGCTCTGTCGAGTTTTCCAAAGTGTCCTTGGATGAAATCATGTTGTGCCATGAGGAACAGTAATTCATAAATAAAATATTCGTTAGTGTTGTTCCCAGCATATACATAAATAAAACACTGTTGCTGTATGTTTGTTTTCGCTGGGACCCAGCAACAACAAAAAAACTTCTGTGGTGATACTACTTTTTTCCACTCCAGTTTGAACCTGTGTAAGTAACATGACAATGTATTTCTCATAGCTGTTTACACACATCATATAAGTTATTTTGTTTAGTTTTATTACCTGCAAGTATCTACCATCTTGTAAGAATATATAAAAGGCTGTAACATATTGGAACATTTGTCTAACTTTTAGAAACATCCTATTCCTGACAGTGGTCAGACATCGCATAAAGGATACAGTGATGCTTCTTCCAGTGTACCCTCAACTCTTTCACCAGTGCAGTGCTTAGAAGCTTTAAGACCTATATGGTGTATCTATATAGTAGTACTTAATACTCTTACATGAATCTGTAATAATGTATGTATGGCCAGTCTTCGCAAATGAAGATTTGGGAAAGGTCTTTACCCTTCGAGCCTGCGCAGTGGATTCTTTAGGTGAGACACAGCGTGCACTGAACTGAGCTCACCCTTTAATCCTAAGGTTCAACTGCCGGGGCCAAGTGAGCTTGGACAATGGCAGCGAGGTCCTCAGGACGTAGGTTTGTTTAGAGTGACCTTCTCTTAGATGGAAGACCTTACAGGGCTGACGAGCTCCATCTGCCCGGAGGAGTTCCCTGACAGGGAATCGAACCCGGGCCGCAGCGGTGAGAGCGCCGCATCCTAACCACTAGACCACCAGGGGTCCCTATGAATCTATAATAGCAATTTTTTCAAATTACCTGCATTTTTAGCTGCTATAGTACCCAGCAAGAAGAACTCTAGGCTTACACTACGCACTCTGGAAAATACTTGCTTTTTTAAGGTTCCTGATAATTTCATTGGCTACTTCCTAGTTTTTTCTCTTAGGTGACAGAATGAATAATACCCTCTGTTCATATTATTTCTCCTTTTATAATTTTGTATTTATAACCCTGTTTATGTCTTCTGCTGCTGTTTACTTTCTTTTCTCTTAAATGTCCAAATTAATCCTCAAAACTGGGATTATCTTCAATGGTAGCCAGCAAACAGAAGTGGGGACTAATTTGTTTTAAAAAAAAAAACACCACAGAAGGAGGACAGGGAGGACAAAGGCCATCTTAAATTAATGACATTATGGTACATGGAGGGTCATCACCAGGTGAAATTTCAGTTTACAGTGAAGGAAGGATCACATCATAAAATGTAGATAAAATGGAATTTACTTTCTGAGACATACAAAATTAAAAGAAAAGACCATAAAGGGAAATTCATACACTGTAGGTAGATGAATTCCCTAAGTTGTCACAATATTCATTTTTCTTTCCTTTATTACACCTGCATGCGGGTAACTCCCTCAGAATTTCTTATTGCTCCTTATGTATTAGTGCAGCAATTTAGCTGGCACCAGACACCTTGCAAAAGAAAGCTAAAATTCTGCTTACTGCCATTGAAAAAAAGATTATACTCAGAGAGTAGAGAAGTAGACCAGAGCAGAGGGAATGATTTTTTTGCATATTTCCTCTATTGTATATCTCCTATATGTCCCTTGTTTCATCATGAAGAAAAGGACGTTATTCAATCTACTGGACTACAGTGCTGTTTTGGCTCAGGAAGGAATACTCCTATTGAAAACAGCACTCCAAAGAATATTTTCATCTATTGTACCGGTATTTCTAACTCTTACTTTGCAAAAGACAATCCCACACTACTTGGGATTGTTGCTTCTTTTTAAAATAGTTAAAAACATTTTGTCAATCTTTTTGTCAATAGAAAGGGTGTTACTAAGGCTGTGGGACCAAAAAAATTTCTTTTGGTTTGCATAGTAGGGATATCTATGCCAAAAGCTTTTCCTCACCTGCGTATACCATCACAGAATATTTATTAATTTTAAATAATTTGATCTTGATGCCTGCAGATAAAACCAGTTAAGGCAACAAGAAACTTTGATGAACAGATGATTTGAACACAGTACAAGACAGCGAAATTCAGAAGTAATGCTCTGCTGGTGCTGCCATTTCAAAATTGAAATAAACTGAAATAGTTTAGAGTGTGATGGAGTAAAAATACACTATTGTCTTCTACGAAGTTGGTATGAGTTCTGCTTAGACCAGTGGTTGCTCTGTGCAAGAACATTGGATGACTGAGTTTCGGAACAAAGCATTAATTTTGCAAGGTATGTCCTCTCTTCAGAAGTTTTGCAATGAGACTTTAAGACCTTTATTCTATCTACTGCTCAGTAATGAAAGCTTTGAAAGGGACAGTCTGATTGAAAACGCTGCCATTCCAAGGATATCTTCCTGCTTGTGGACCACTGAGAAAGAGAAAAGAAACAGCATCTGTCAGTCGATCTATATACTCAGGAGAGGGAATAGGAGAAGGGAAGGTACATTTATTTCCGGTTGTGGACATTGTTGAGAATCTTACTCATGCTTTATGTACATACATACATGTTTTGGCATCAGCAGTTGCAAAACTGGAGTGAAGGTAGAAAGCTTCTTGAGGAGCCATTTCAGACACTGAGAGCTAGGACCAAAGAGAAATGGAAACAGCAAAGTATAAATATTTCTAAATTGGGTTTCATGTCATAGAACTTCCTCAAATGTCCTTCTAGATAGACGTGGAAGTCCATTTTCAAAATATCTCGTTTAATGATTTAATTTGTTCCATTTTGACCGCTGCAGTACAAAAACCCCCTGGTTAGCTCTGCTTATTGTTTCTTACTGATACCTTAATAATGAACCCTTACAGCATCTTAATGTAATTCTAACCCCTTAATCAATAAATTTTGTTGTAATAACAGTAATGCTCATTAGCAGTAATTTCTTTAATCTACCAGTATATTTGCATTCATCATGTAGGTATATCTTCTATCAGCCTCTAAATCTACTGGACAAAGTATGGCAGAGAACTTAGGTGAGATGTCTGTATTTACAGAAGTTATGGCTTTCAACAGTGGGTTGAAACGCTTGAACTACTGGTTTTCAGCACTCCTGCAGTATGTCGTTAAAACTGTTTGCACACTGCCATTCCTGAAGTCTTTCCCGAGTTTTGTTCTGCATATGTGTCTGATTTCCCTGCAGCAGACTTTTCTTGACATCTGCTGTCAAGATAACTGTAGCTAGATTGAGGTGGAAAATGCACTGGCTCTTCAAGTGTCCTGTTTACCGAAAACTGCTACTACAGACAGACCCAGCAGGGCAATAAAAAGCAACCAACCAACCCTCATAAATTTGTATTACAACTGGATAAAACTTTTAATTAAGAATTTTCTACAGAAACTGAGTTTTCTGCCAAATTAAAATTTTCAACAGGGCAGTGTTTACTTTTTTTAACTTTTAAGGAGAGGTAGTTTAAAAATGTTGGTTTTTAAAAGAGTTTTCCGTTACTCCTTGCATGAATCTAAGTCACTGTGCTGGTTTATTAGACTATAGGAGGTGTGATTTGGATAACTTGTCTTCGTGTTTCCGTGTCACCAATGTTCAACAGGCAGACTGTACCTCTCACATGTATTGTATCTTCTCTGGTAGAGGGATAGATAGCCCACAACACAGCATAGAAGACATTTTTCAAAACTACAATTTGGAACTGAAAATTTTTAGAATTCATCTTCCCTCGGAAAATCTTCCTGTATCAATTTTTTGCCCCAGTTTCAGGGAAAAATGAGTATTGAAATAATTAATTTATTCAAAAATATAAAGTTAATTTTTTGCCAGCTTAGACTTGCATATAAAGTTATCAAATAATTCAGAATTTTTTCAGGATTTTTTTTTCTTTATTTAAATAAAAGAAAAAAACATCCCTGGGAATCTTGGAATAAAGTACAGAGTATTTTACATATTTGGCCTTTATAATATGGACTGGGAGTCATGGAATCATACAATAACATGATGTAGCACCTGATATGGTTTGAAGCTGGCTCCCTGCCAAGTCCCCAAACCTCACCACAAGACTTCCCTCCCCCCCCCAAACCAAGGGAGAAGAAGGAAAAAAAAACCCAAGAGAATCGAAATGAGAGAGAGACAGCTAAAACAATATGTATAAATATATTTCCACTTACATTACAGTTATATACAATTGAAATATATATACAGTTTCAAAAGGGAAAGGGAAGGGGGAAGGGAAAAAAGGAACAAAACCAAAATAAAAAATATATATATATATCCCGATCAATAGCCCAAGATCTAGCAACTAAAAGAATTAGCAAAAGAATATCTTACTACTCTCCTTGGGACAACAGAAAAGTCGCGCTGGAACAACCGCCAGCAACCTCCATCTCCCAAGGTCGGCAAGGCCTCACCAGGCCTCACTGCCCAACCCGACAGACTCAACAGCAGGGAAATCCGCACCTCCAAACCTGCCAGAAGGAAAGAGGGGCGAAGGCCTCTCCTCCTTTCTTCTTATAGCCTGGCTTATGTAAACATCGTAGGGAATAATGGGTAAATCTGGGCACTTCCTTGGTTACAAACTCATCACCAAGGAAGGCCTAGACTAAACTACCACAAGCACCTTTAACAACTTTTGCACAAAATGCATGCTTTATGTCTACCATACTTAGCAGCAACACAGGCTTAATATTCTTAACCTGCTGCAAGCCATGCAGACAGTTCATTAACACTGTTGCTTGTATGAAGCATGCCTGTATTTTGTTCTTTATTACAGTTTTTGCTGTCAGTGGATCTGAAGACAGACATTTTTGTAAATAAAAATGTGGGAAAGATCTCTGGGATCATTTTGGAAAGACCTTTCTTGCATTACCAAAAGAATTGAACGTGACCTGGCAATGCGCACTTGCAGCCCAGAAAGCCAGTCTTATCCTTGGCTCCATCAAAAGAAGTGTGGCCATCAGGTCAAGGGAGGTGCTTCTGCCCCTTTACTCTTATTCTCTTGTCATCCCACCTGGAGTACTGTGTTCAGCTCTGGAGCTCCAGTACAAGAAAGACATGGACCTATTAGAGCAGGTCCAGTGCAGAGTTACAAAAGTGATCAGTGGGCTGAAGCACTTCTCCTATGAGGACAGGCTGAGAAAGTTGGAATTGTTCAGTCTAGAGAAGAGAAAACTCCAGAGAAGCCTTTCAGTATTTGTGCCTATTACATGTGTGAACTGGCTCTGCCAAAACAGCGGCATCAGCAAAGTACTGATAAGGGCTCATAAGAAAGATGGAGAGAGACTTTTTACCAAGGCCTTTAATGACAGGAGAAAGGTCAACAGTTTTAAATTGAAAGCGCTTGGATGTAAGGAAGAAATGTTTTATGACAAGGGCTGAGAGACACTGGAACAGGTTGCCCAGAGAAGTTGTGGATACCCCAAAGAGTTCAAGGTCAGGTTAGATAAAGGTTTCAACAACCCAGTCTAGTGAAAAGTATCCCTACCCGTGGCATGGGTTTGGAATTAGATGATCTTTAATGTCCCTTTCAACCCAAATAATTCCTTAATTCTATGATTCTCTGGAATGTTCCCAAATGCCCAATTGCATCTGAACTTTGGTTTGGTTTTGCTCCTTTCATTGGATGAAGAAACCCAGGCTGTCATTTATTGGAAGTTAAAGAAGGTATTATCCGAAAGATACATAAATTCTTTTCTGTCATCAGAATTAGTTTGGAATTGATAGAAATGTAAACAAGAACCTGAACTGTTCTGCCATAAACACACCCAATTCTATATCCCATCCCAATGTAGAATTTAATTAGAACTGTGCCTTTATGCTAATCTATGTGGACCTAACTTTTTTTTTTTCTGTAACCTTTGGATTCAATTGAAATGGCATCTGTTAAATTCCTCAACTACATTCAGTGCTTTTGTGAGAGTCTACAAGGAGACTTTTGTTTGTCTAAAAAGAGTTAAAATCATCTCTATATGTTTGGAACCTTGAAATTTTAGTGAGAATGTCAGCCTTTCTGATTTTGGCATTCTCTAGAGCAAGGCAAGTGATTTTAGCAACATAATCATATTTATCTCTTGTCAGCTCCATGTGGTTTCCTTGGTCTGTATCTGGGATATTAATTTTTAACAGAATTATTTCATCCTCAGCCAGGGAGATTTGCAGTGTCAGCATCTCCTAGTTCACACTCCAGTACTGTAATTCACAATCTAAGCAGGAAAGATGAATGGTGGCATAAGGACAAATAATAGAAAACCAAAAGACTGAGATAACAGAAATAAGCACATAGATAAAAGGTGTAGATAATGACTCAGGAATGAGAATGTGAATAAAGGAATCAGATAATTTCCCCCAGATTTGCATTAATAACAGGCAGAGATTCATGTACTGTGCCAATTGCTGTGAAATGCAAGAGGGGAAGTTCAGTAAGATGACTGTTGCTTTTAGGTCTGAGTCAAAAAAGCTCAGAAATATAAGTGTTTAATTCTTAACTAAGGAATTACTATAAGTGAAAAGTGCCCTTGAATACTTTGCTGATGAGCAAACTCCAATGTATAATGGTCCTAAATTTGTAGATATTTTGTTCTTCATCTTACAGCGGTTTTCTTAAGTATTATTATTTGAGCCTTCTATTATGTGTTAAAGCTAGTATTTGTTGAAATCAGTCTCTGTGCAATTTAACAACAAGGTAATATACAAAGTTAATGACCATCATCTATCTCATACTGAAATTCTTTATTTCTTTACTGGGTAATCTCTGTAATTAATACAGCTTAATGAAATGAAATAAATATGAAAGGTATGGTCAGCTCATCAGTGAATGTAAATCAGAGCAGTCCACTTTACCTGTGAGCTCATACCTATTTACAGCATTCCACGATCTTCTGCAGAGGTTCTGTACTACATACTTGAATGTTAAATTCTTGATATTCTTTTTGCTCTCATTTGACTCATAAAGCTAACACGTAGCTGTAGTTAAATTAATATGTTCAAAATGCATTGTATATCAATTAAGTGAAGTTTTCTTTTGAAAATGACAATTCCAAATAGAACTACACTCAAATAGAGCTATACCCAACTATTTATTTAGTATTTTATTTGACAACTACTTTTAGTAGTGAATCAGTCAGAAACATATGCTGTTCTGTTATGATCTCTTGCTTTTGGTTACTTGTCTACTTCATTAATTAATTTTAAAAGTAATTACTGAAAAATTATGATCAACTTGCAGTGATGTGCTAAATTTCGCAATTTTAAAAAATTTTACTCTTTGTGATGGTCCAGAAATAGGTGGTTTAGTATCGGATTACATGACCCTGAAAATGTAAGGAGTTCACTTAAAGGAGGGCCAGGTGAGATGAAACCGTGAGTTGTTTAAATTTGTAAATCCAAGGAGCTGTGCTGCTCTCCTTAGCTGACTGTCTGATCCAGTGTTTGTGGCTTCTACTTACATTTGTCTTTTTGTAAAGCAAGTCTGTATATGGAAATCTTGACATGAATACCTGGTGTTACATTTTGCTTTGTTCCAATTAATTAAATCTACTTATAAATTATTTCTGATTTTATATGTTCCTAACATGATTATATATTGCGGCTTGGTCTTACCTTGTATTGTTTAGCTATGTGTATAAGGAATTTTTATCCAGTTTCCTAATAGTAGTCCAGTCATCTGTCAATGGAAATGTATCTTTATATTCACTTTTTGTGAAGCCCTGCATAGATGACAGTAGGCCTGTAATGCTTGTTTGTTGTAATGCCCGTAACAATTGTTTTAAGATCTTTTTGATTGATTGTTTATTCAGTTTTGGTTTTATTCACTTTTCTGATGTGAATGCTGAGGACACTATGCAGTCTGTATCACCTAAGTCAGCTGAAAAACTTCTGCTCTGTAGTGACTAATAAGAAAAGGTCACTGTTTTCCCAGAATTATTAGGTTGCTTCCAAAGAACTTGGTTGTACCAGGATACTGTGGTTCAGCAAACTGCACTTAATTAAAGTATACGCTTTAAGTATACACTTTCTCATACCAGTACGTTTAATCATACACCTGCGGGTAAGTGTTCTGCTGTAACAGGCTACAACAGCCAGCATGCAGCACAATTTATTTTCAAAACAAAAAAGTTATTTCAGTACCTAATTGCTAGTAAAATACTAAGTTTTCCCTTTCTTTCTCTGGCATCCACATGAATGTAGGGGCCAGATGTCGTGCATTTCACTACTCTTTACATGCTGCATCTTGTGCTTGGGCATGTCCTTTCGTTGGCGCCCTGCTGCATCATTTTGTCTCAATACTTGTTCTTAATTGTAATTAATAAACCCATGGAAATACTGTAGTTCCTGGGATATTGTTTACTTCAGGCATGTTATGGTTTTGTTAAGATACTGAGTGTAGGTTTCTAAAACAGAAAGGTTAGAACAGAGTTAAAAAGATAGTTAGCTGAAAATTTCAAAACATTGTAAAAATTATTGCATCTTAAACTTTGAACTTATTTGTAAGATTGCATTGACTTGAACTGAGCTTCTAGAATTATTGACTATTACCAGTTTGAAAGTAAATGATTCCCAATGGGACCTATTTCAAGTCTGGAATGGATCCAAGATGAAACCCTCTGACAGTGTATGCACATAAATCCTTAATCTCATCGAGCAGGTTACTTCAGGGGAGCCTACTAGATTAGTAATGGGATGCCTTGCAATTCCATTAATGAAATCCTGTCAGAATAAATTGATTAATAACATACTGATATTTTAGGCTTTTTTATGGCAGTGTAATGCAGTTGTTTAAGAACTCATTGCACAAACCATTTTAGGTGTTGTTGATGTTAAATAGTAACCCATGCAGTTACTATGTTACTTCATCTTTCATTTTAACAGTAGTATTGATTTGGTGAAAATCAGAATTTATAAAACTGTTTTCTGATAAAGTTGCCTGTATATGTCCTACTAACACAAGAACTGTGTGAGTTCTGTACAAGATTGGCTTAAAGGGACTTGTGCTGTGATTTGAGATTTTGATAAATATTAATTTTGATTTGTAATTGACTTTCTGTCCACAATGTTACAGCAAAAGCCTATTTGGACTATATCAGTCTGAAATGAGCTTAAATACCTCTTAACAAATGTATGACAACAGTATCTTACAACAGTAGGATTGCAAAGTGTCAGCATTCCAAATTTGGCCTGTCAGACATGTTTCATTGTATATTACTTCTCTTTCTCATCTTTTGGGGAGTTTTTCCCCAGACTATCTGTGGGAACGTACGTTCCCAGTAACGTGGAATCCATTCCACTTCCAACTCTTTCTCTGCCATGGAGGTCATCTGGAAGTATTGTAGCTAATATTTGTTCCAAACTGGCACTGTTGGTGGCATCAAGAAAACTCTACACTCTTG